GTGTGTGTGTGTGTGTGTGTGTGTGTGTGTGTGTGTGTGTGTGTGTAGGTCAGAGGACAACTCTTGGGAGTTGCTTCTCTCCTCCTACCGTGAGGTCTGGAGATCAAATTTAGGAAGCGAGGCTTGTGCAAGTGCTTTTAGCTGCTGATCTATCTCACCAGCCCCCAATAAGCAAGCTAAAAACGAACGTCAGGCCTGGAGACATGGCTTAGTGGTTAAGTTCAATCACAAAGACTGGAGTTTGGCTCTCAGGATCCATGTAACAAGCCAAGAGTTCCCACAAACACCTGTAAGCTCAGCTTCAAGGGGCCAGAGACAGGAGGATTTCTGGGACTTGCTGCACACACACACACACACACACACACACACACACACACACACACACACACAATCTTTAAAAAGGAAAATACCATCTTAAAAAAGAACTATTCATTTAACACTGCAAAGGAAAAACAGACAAAACAAGCAAACCGGGGAGGAAAGGGAGCAAGAGAACCAGGTCCAGTGACTGACTTGGAAGGAAAACAAAAAAGCAAGGCAGACGCTGGTGCTCGTGGACCCCACACACTGCAAAGGGGTGAGGAACTCACACGGCCCAGGGACACTGCAGACTGCAACTGTCTACCTTCAACAAGGACCTACAGCCTCTTTGGTCACTCGTCTTTTTCAAAGATGCTCAATGCAGTTATGTGCAGGCTTTTCTTGTTCCTAAACTCACAGACCCTCTTTGGCTTTGGACAGATAACCCCCTGTCACAAGCAGAACAAGGGGCAGGCTTTTTCCAACAGCAGGGATGACATGAACGAAAAGATAGAAAGAGACAATCGGTGGAGCTAAGTGGCAAGCCACCAAACAGACCTCTCGCCTGTCATCTTTTTGACACCCACCTACCCAATGTGGAAACTAAGATTAATGGAGACCAAGACCCAAGGCTGACATGTTACAGTAATGTCTTTAATAGGGTGGTCTTGAATTTCAAACTAAAGATTTCTGACTCTGTGTCCTCTAGAGATAAAAACACTAGGCTTGAAGTGTAAAACCTGGATCCAAATTCTGGCACTGCAATTGATAGCTGCATGTCTTTGAGCAAGTGAAGCTTATTTTCATTTTATGTGTTTGAACATTTTGCCTACATATGTGCACAAGAATGCCTGCTGCTCAGAGAAGCCAGGGAGGGCATCAGACCCTGTCCTACAGTTAGACAGGTGTGTAAACGGGCTATCACCTACCGTGTTTTCCTGAGGATCAAATAAGACTAGATCTGGGTTCTAGATTTGGAACCCAGAGACATCTGAATCCTGACTCCAAAGTCTCCAAAACTCTCTCCCTACATGACATTCTCCATAAGCTTTTCTACCTGTTTGTGGCTTTAACGGCATTGTACGGTCACATTAAAATGACTCTCCAGAGGATCTTCTGTGACCACTCAGCTTTTCAGTGACTTCAGCATCACAGCCAACAACAGGGATGGTTCCATACACCATGCTGTACCAACCAGAGTGCACACAGATTTACACACCAGACACGTGGTCTCTGCTCATTTATCAAGACATTCACAAGCCTTGAACTAAGCAGAATAAATGAGCAACCAGAAAGCAAATGTCTAAAGAATCTGTTTATTCTGCTTATTTCAAGATTCAGTTAAGCAGAAATTGGAAATATTGTCTTGGTTTTAAAGTGTGTTCACATGATCGAATTCAATTTTAAATAAGCCCATGGACTTCCATGTATGAACCCCAAAATCTGTATGAATAATTCATAACCTGTGAAGCCACTGAGCTATCACAAAGAACTTACAAAGCCATTTTCTTCTGTACAAATAAACATCTTACATATATATGTATATATATCAAATTACATGTATATACGTATATACATATATGTACATGTATATATATATAGGTAACTGGACATAACTAATAAAATATACACACATATATATGTAACTGGATATAACAAAAACAAATTGATTTAAAATCAGAAATCACTGCAGCCTTTGGCCATATTCATTCATCAAAATTTGCTAGAAATATAGCTAGCTCTCTTCTCGTTGGGAGGATTTCTAATAAATTTTAGGTCTTAAAAACTATACTAGGTTAAAAAGCTGGGCCGGGCGGTGGTGGCGCACGCCTTTAATCCCAGCACTCGGGAGGCAGAGCCAGGCGGATCTCTGTGAGTTCGAGGCCAGCCTGGGCTACCAAGTAAGCTCCAGGAAAGGCACAAAGCTACACAGAGAAACCCTGTCTCGAAAAACAAAAAAAATAAAAAAATAATAAAAATAAAAAAATAAAAAGCTGGGCAGTAGTGGCGCATGCCTTTAATTTGAGCACTCAGGAGGCAGAGGCAGATGGATCTCTGTGAGTTCGAGGCCAGCCTGGTCCACAGAGCGAGTTCCAGGACAGCCAGAGCTACACAGAGAAACCCTGTGTCAAAAAACCCAAACCAAACAAAAATAAAAATGAAAAAACGGCTGTGCTTCTGATTAGAAAAAATGACCACAACAAGCCACACCCACGATCCATAGGCCTAAGGGTCTTAGTGAGAAGGAAAAGCTACAACAGACACTTCGTTTATGTGGACACCATCTAACTTGTCACACAAAAAAATTTATATGTTAAAAACAAACCAACCAACCTCAAACTCGAATGTCTGCAGCTCCTCTTGTCTAGGTATCTTCTAGCTCAGCCGAGCCGCACTTGGACCTGGAACATGCCCTAGTCATGCACACTGTATTCTGATTTCCATTACAAACCCTGGGCAGCCTTGCAGTACCCGGTCTGTGTGCCCAGACAAGGGCATTAGTGCCATCCAGAATTTCCTCCCACAGGAATGACACCATTCCATTCAATCTTTACCCAGCTCCATACACAGAACTTTGGAGATTCATTCTGGGAAATCCAAAAGTAGTCTCACCCAACTTTCAAATCTCCATTAATCTCACAAACAGCACTGTATTCATCAGGGTTCTCTAGAGGAACAGAACTGGTTGAATAAATATTTACACATATGTACATATTCATATAAATAATAGATAATAATTCATATGTATTCATATAATACATTGTATGTACATATATGTGATTATTAGAGTAGCTGACAGGCTGGGGTCCTACTAGTCCAATAATAGCTGTCCAATGGAAAAGCCAAGAATCCAGTAGTTGCTCAGTCTACCTGGCTGGGTGTCTCAGCTGGTCTTCATTATACGCTGGGATCCAGAAGAAGCAGGCACTAATGCCAGTGAAGGAATGAACTTGCCATCAAGAGCAAGGACAAGCAGGCAAAGAGCAAACGACTTCTTCCCTTGCTACCAGGTGTAGCCCAGATTAAAGGTGGATCTTCCCACCTCAAAAGATCCAGATTAAAGGTGGGTCTTCCCACAGCAAGTGATTTAATTAAGAATAATCCCTCACTGGTGTGCCCTTCATTTTCAGATTTTAGTTAATTCCAGATGTAGTCAAGTTGACAACCAAGAATAGCCATCACAAGCATGTTTATCTTATTGGAGAATATTATTTTAAGGTGTGTTACTTTTGCTTATGCTCTGGAACATTTGTTTAATGATGCAAAGATGTGTTTGATTAAATAAAATTCACCTGTCAAGTTTCAGGAGGTCTTGCCTGACCAAACCTGATCCATATTTACCCTGAAGGCCTTCACAGCCTTTCATCTCCTGTGGGAAGAAAACTCCAAAGCATTTTTTTATTTCCTTTTGACAAGTATATTATTTTACTTTTTTTTGTTTGTTTTTGTTTTTCGAGACAGGGTTTCTCTGTGTAGCTTTGCGCCTTTCCTGGAACTCACTTGGTAGCCCAGGCTGGCCTCGAACTCACAGAGATATGCCTGCCTCTGCCTCCCAAGTGCTGGGATTTATTTTTTTGACTTTTTAAAAGTTAAGTTTTTCCTAAAGTATATAAACTGATTTACTTCAACAGTCCCTCTTCCAATTCCAGGTCTCTTTGCAGCTGTCCTTTGCTTTTCAACAATCAAAAAATTCAAAATCAATACAATAACACACAGGATCAGGACTCCCTGTGTAGTTCCCATCTTACGTGGCTTTTTTCCTTTTGTATTACTTTTACTCTCTCTTTAAAGACTTTATTTTTAAACTATTCATTTCTTTCTATGACTATACCCTTTTTCCTATCTTAAGCCTATGCACATTGTTAAGCACACTGTAACCTGTTCAGAGATTTTTCTGTCTAGACCTCTTTTGTCTTCAGCCATCTTTGAATGAGCAAACAGACTGCTAACCTACACCTAGATCCTCTGTACACAGCTCTCAGTTGGTTCTACCTGCTTCTTGGGTTTTAAAAGCCAAGCGTGAAACTCTCAGGCTGTCAGAGGTTTGTCTGACCAGGAACTGCATTCAACCTCCCCAGAACTCTAGAATGTTGATGCTTGCACTGTGGCAGGCATTTGTACTTAGTTTTTGTTCCTACTTAATGTACTGTCTGCTCAAGGGCTTGCCAGCAGGCTGAAACTCTTTAAGAAGCCATGTCTTCTTTGTCGTCATTGTCTTCGTCTTCTTCTCCTCCTCCTTCTTTTTTAAAGCTTTCTCAGGCACTATGGGAATTTGAGCACCACACTGGTATGCCAAAATGTTGTTGCTTATTTTTTACTCTTTTGGGGAGCCCACCACCCAGCTCCCAAATAAATGACATGAAAGCTTATTCTTATTTATAAATGCCTGGCCTTAGCTTGGCTTGTTTCTAGCCAGCTTTTCTTAACTTGGATTAACCTGTCTGGTTTTTACCTCTGGGCTTCCCCTCATTCTCTTCCTTCTGTAAATCTTACTCTTACTCTGAGGCTTGCTATGTTGCTGGGTGGTTGGCCCCTGGAGTCTTCCTCCTTCTCTGGCTCCTTCTCTTTCTTTTCTCTCCTATTTATTCTCTGTGCCTGCCAGCTCCACCTATCTCTCCCTCCTGATTTTAACCCTGAATTTGGTTATTTCTTACCATCTACTACCCTTGGTTGTGATTACTTCTTTTTGTTCTAGAGCTTTTAAGATGCTAGTATGAGATCTCTCCAATTTTTTAACGTAGGCACTTAGTGCTACGAACTTTCCTCTTAGCAGCACTTTCATTGAGTCTCATTAAGCTTGGGTATGCTGCATATTTGTTTTCACTAAATTCTAGAAAGTCTTTAATTTCTTTATTTCTGTCTTGACCCATTTTTTCATTCAGAAGAGAGTTGTTCTGTTTCCATGAGTTTGTAGTTGTTACACAAAGAAACCCTGTCTTGAAACCCCCCCCCCAAATTGAAATGTCATCTTAGTGGATTTTTCCTTTTCTATCTCTTTTGATTAATTTTGGTTTAAAGTCTATTTTAGATATTAAATTGGCTACACCAGCTCATTTCTTGGGTCCATTTGTGTATAATATCTTTTCCCAAACCTTTACCCTGAGCTAATGTCTATCCCTGATGTTGTGTTATGTTTCTTGGATACAGCAGACGGATGAATCCTGTTTTTGAATCCTTTCTGATAGTCTGTATCTGTTTGTTTTTGTTTTGCAAGACGGGGTTTCTCTGTGTAACCCTTACCACCATCAGGCCAGTCTGTGTCTTTTTATAGGGTAATTGAGTCCTTTGATATTGAGGGACATCAATGACCAGTGATTGTTGATTCCTGTTCTTTTATTGTTGTTATTGTTGTTGCTGGTGCTGGTGGTGGTGGTGGTGGGTGGGTGGATGGGTGAGTGTGCTTTCCTTAAAAATATGGAATGCTTCACAAATGTGTGTGTCATCTTTGCACAGGGACTAGAGCATATGAGGTCTTAACCCCTAAGCCATCTCTCCAGCCTAGGAATTATTTTTTCTAAAAATTAAATTAAACCATTACTGTAAGGAAAGGGCCAAAAAGTTACAAATAGCGAGAGAGGCGTGTTATCCTAGAGTCTTACAGCTTCTCAACGTTTCAAAGAACTGGAAATGGGAACTCTGGGGAAAATTAACTTTAAATACCATGTCATTCCTTGTCATTCCGTGCAGCTCCTCAGCCCTGACACTTTAAAGGCTCGGGAAATAGGCTACGTGTCCATTTCTCTGCACTCCACAATGCCCTCTAATTCCATCTGGCCAAACTAACTATGGTGGTTTGAGTGAGAATGGCCCCTATGGCTCATGTATTTGAATTCTTGGTCCTCAGTTGGTGGAAATTTTAGGAGGGATTTAGAAATATGGCCTTGTTGAAGGCGAGTGTCACTGGAGGTGGGCTTTGGCGTTTCAAAAGCCCAGGCATTCCCAGTTAGCTCTCTCTGCCTCCTGCTTTTGGATAAAAACAGAAGCTCTCAGCTACTGCCCCAGGGTCACATCTGCTGCTTGCTGCCATGATCCCCATCATGATGGACTCTCTGAAACCATGTGCCCCAAATTAAATGCTTTCTTTTATAAGTTGCCTTGGTCATGGTGTTTTGTCAAGGCAATAGAAAAGGCACTAAAACAACAGATCTGACTCAGCTGTCTGAAAAATATGAAGGGCAGTTAGTCCCTGCAAGGGTAGCAAGACTCTAGACCATAGTCTCCCATCTTTCAAGTCTATCACGCTCTGAATGTACAAGTAACTGTTTCAAATCAGCAGATAAGAATATCTGTATCTATACAAATACAGAGAAATATGTATTTCTATCAATATAGAGCAGGCAAAAATCAGAATAAGAAAAATCTGCTGAGCTCTGCATAGAATTCAAAGGGTAAGGCATTTAATATTAATGTAAAGGTCTCATGATGCTTCATTTTGAACTGTCAGCTTTTCACAACCAAGAATCACCTGAGAAAAGACTCTCAGTGAGGGATTACCTAGATTAGGTTGGCATGTGGACATTCCTGTAAGGAATTTTTTTTTAATTTCTTGATTGAGGTGGGAAGACCATTCTGAACAGGAATGGCACATTTCATGGACTGGCCACTGGACTGTACGAGTGAAATGGGGGTTGAGGGAACTGGACAAGCAGGCATGCATGCTTGTATTCTCTCTCTGCTCAACTAAGGATGTGACTTCAAGCCCCTGCCTTGACTTCCCCACAATGACTGCAAGCTGGAATACAAACCAAACAAACCATTCCTCCCTTAAGCTGCTTTTTGTGGGATGTTTATCACAGCAGCAGAAATGAAACTAAGACACTACTAGCCCTCTTAAGTGGGCACATATCTAAACTGTTCCACATTTAAGGGTAAAGCTTTATGAAAATGAACTTTTAATCCCAGCTCACATTCTGGTGTTAGTTCAAAGAATATAAAATGTTTCTTCTTGGGGGTAAGGGGAGGGGGTGGGAGGGGGGAGAATAGGGGAACCCGTGGCTGATATGTAGAACTGAATGGTATTGTAAAATAAAATAAATAAAATTTATTTAAAAAAAAATGTTCCTTCTCTTCTCTCCTAGAATGGAGGCACGTCTTACTTCAGGTTAAACTATGTCCGGATACTATATGCCATCCCACTGTAGTCTCTAAGCCAATGTAGACATTTACTTACCAGGAATTAACTTTTGCTCACAGGGCATGAAAATTGCTCCACGCATCATTTCTATGTCCCCTCCTTGTGATGGTCAAGTCTAAGTGGCAATCTACTAGGTTGCAGGAGGCCCACATATTCAGTCAAACATTACTCTCAGTGTTTCTGTGAAGGTGTTTTTGAATAAAATTAACATTTGACTCAGTTGGCTGAAAAACAACGTATTATTCCGAAGCCCAAACAATTGAGGACCTGAATTAAATAAAAAGGCTATTCTCTCTCAAGTTAGGGATGCTTTAACTCCTTCTATCCAAATGTCTAAGCTGGGAGATCTGTCTTCCCTGCCTGTGGCGTGGAACTCATCAGCTTCCTCAGGCCGGGGCTGGCTTTTCTGGTGTGCAGGCCTTCAGACTTGACTAGAGCTGCACTCACTGCTCTCCTGGATTTCACACTAAAGATGCTGGGACTGCACAAGCCAATTTGTGATTTAGCGTAATCTATTTCTCTATCATCCGATCAGTTCTATGTGTCAGAAGTATCCTAATTCCTTAGATAAACTAGCCCAGAAGTCTGAGGTACCTCCTATAATAGGAACACTAAAAACTGAGTGGACAAGTCTGGGAGACAGCAAAATGCCTTCTGTCCTCTCTCAAGAGACCACGAAAAATAAAAGTAATGTTGTCTGTGTGCTATACCATGAACTGGAGCATTTGTTGGCATATTGTGTAAATTAATTTCTAGTTCTAGCTTCCCAGGTGTAACAAACTGTGTTTGTGTTTGTGCTTCACAGGAAACACAAACTGCCTGTCTTGGCATTTCTGGACACAGTGAGCAGATGAACACTTCGGAGCTACCATCATCTTTCTGAGACAAGTGTTTATTGGAAAACTGGAATGTGTTCCAGCTTCAATACAGCTTCCTCCAGGTTAATGACCAAATATTCATAACAGAATTCTTATTTCCTCTTATTCTCCTCCCAATCCAAAGTCATTGTGTATTTTCAGGCTACATTTATGGCCTAACCACAATAAATAAATAACTCCACCCCCACCCCCGCCCCATCCCCGAAGAAACGTCCACTATGAAGGCAGGGTATGAGAGGATATAAGAAAATATTTTTCATTTCCTCTAAGCTATTTAAATTATGTATGTGTGTATGCATGTGCACACGTGAAGCACACATTTTGGAAATACTAGGGATTGAACCTAGGTCATTATATATACCAAGCAAATGTTATATGCTAATCAATATCCCTAGCCTCTTTTCATATTTTTATTTGAGATAGAATCTCACTAAGTGGTCTAAGCAGGCTTTGAACTCACTATGTAGCCCAGGCAAATCTTTCAACTGTGACTCTCCTGCTTCAGCCTTCCAAACAGCTGGGATTACAGGGCCCAGGCCACCAGAGCTGGCTTTTGAATCACACTCCGACTGCAAACTTAGGGGCCGCCTATTAGTTCAGCGGCCACTCCCTCATTATTTTCTTCTCCCTCCCCAACTTCTTCATCCTCTAACCAAATACAAGACATCTTTAATCCACACACTCACTCCCAGAATGTAAGTCATCACAAATTGGGGAAAGACTCCTAGCCAAGAAAGAGACACACCAAACTGTAGTGCCCTTGTTCTTATTGTCATGACCTCTGAAATGCTGATGTTATACTCAACTGCAGTCATTTGCAAACCTTCAGTGCCCATTGCGGGACACCAACAGCCGATAGATGTCCCCGGTATGTCCTTCTGAGACACTCAAGTCCAACAGCATTCTCAACAATCTCCATTTATTCCACTTTAAACATGTACAGAGTATGTGTATGGGCACTGTTAGAACTTAAAGCAAGGTCTACCTTTCCCAGACTAAGTTGTTTTGGGCATGATTACATTGATCCGATTGATAGATCAGAACTATAGCTAGAACTGAACAAAACAGGAAAAGCTTCCCACATGAAAAATGGGCTTTACAAACTTAAACAAGACAACATAAAGTTTCAATTCCTAAATAACAATGAATTACCAAAAAAGTGAACTGGTATAGAAGCACTTAATCAAATAATCCTATTTTTATGAGGGAAATTATTGTAAGGTCCCTAGTATGAAAGACAGTAAACAATGAGTTGAGGGTCATTAAAAACATCTCAGTAGTAAAAATTTCCAACATCTCTCTTCTGTATCTATATGCTGCCCAACTTAATGCCAAAAAGGAACCAAAATCAGATTTCTTCCAACCCAAGACTAAAAGACATGCCATGTTGGTTTTTAGGGAAACTGCATTTCCTGAATTAAACTAAGAAAATCAAAGTGTAGATGACAGGCCACTTTTCCTTCCCACTGTAATTTTCCTTGAGTTGCTCTCTGAAGATCAAGACAAACAGTATACAGTCTCAGACTCCTGATTTCTTCTTACCTTGCTAATATGGCCAAGAGTAGGTACTCTTGTACAATTAAGACAAAAAGACATTAGACAACAAGACCTTAGGGCTCTGGCTCCTCTGTATTTGCTGCAAAATCCCCACTGATGGGCTAGAGATTGGAAGAGGAGGTAGAGATGTCCGTTTCAGACAACATGACAGCAGAACCCGAGCTGGACTTGAAGAACTGATTCTACTCAGGCAGGAGCAAACTGACATAATTAGAAAAGTATCACTCTGAATTCAGGAACAAGAGGCATTTGGTTGTAGATACAATTCCACCTGTAGGTCCTAACTTTAAATTTAGAGAAATACACTCATTGCATTAATATTATGGGTTGGGGTTTCTTACATGATTCCTAAATCCATCTATTATTTTGTTTGTTTGTTTGTTTGTGTAGTTTTGAAACAACTTACAGCTATGATAAGAAGACTAACACAGGCAGCCCTGGTTCAGGTGTGGTCTTTAGTCTCAGAAAGTCCATCGGTCATGGAGCTGGCTGTCATTGCTAAATCTGTTGCTTGCAGAGGCCTCGGAGCTCTGGGTTTGCCGAGTAGAGTCCTCACCATTTAAGCTCTTCCTACATACTGGGCATGTGTCATGCTGAAACAAAATGATATCAGTCCATGTTAACAGCACGGCCCGAGAAGCTGGGACTACCAAATACTCAAGAAACCCCCGAATCAAGCTGGGGAGATGGCTCAGTCAGTAAAATATTTACAAACAAATACAGAAGCCATGTAATGGGTTCCATGTAACCCACATAAAATGCCAGTGATAGATGTTTGTAAGCCCATTGCTGGGGAGGCAGAAATACAGACCCCTGGGGTCTGTGGCCAGCCAGCCCAGCCTGAGGTGTTGAGTTCCAGGCCAACCAACCTGAGACACCATCTCAAGAATCAAAATGAACACTTCTTTTTTTTTTTTTTTTTTTTTTGGTTTTTCGAGACGGGGTTTCTCTGTGTAGCTTTGCGCCTTTCCTGGGACTCACTTGGTAGCCCAGGCTGGCCTCGAACTCACAGAGATCCGCCTGGCTCTGCCTCCCGAGTGCTGGGATTAAAGGCGTGCGCCACCACCGCCCGGCTTAAAATGAACACTTCTTAAGGAACGACATCTAAAGTTGACCTCTGGCCTTCCCATGCACACACAGCCTGTGAACCCACATGCCACTTCAGCCCCAATTATGATTGAAGGGACCCTGCCTAGCATTCACAAGGCCCTAGGTTCAACTCCTAGTACCACCAAAACAATAAAATAAATAATGAGTTGACAATGAGAAAGATACCATACCAGGATATCTCCCGGATAGAATTTTAAGCAGAATGGACAGAATTCTAAGCCAAGAAGTTAATAAACTAACACATAATAGCAAACAAAACTAATTGCTAACAGTGCTCTGAATTATAACAGAAAGGGAACTATCAATCATTTCCCCATGGACTCTAGATGAGGCTAAGCAAACTTTCCTTACAGGGGCAGAGAGGGGCTGGAGAGATGCTCAGTGGTTAAAAGCAAGCACTGCTGCTGTAGAGTTCTGAGTTCAGTTCCCAGCACCCCTGTGTTGCAACTGTCTGTAACCCAAGCTCCAGGGAGTCTAATACCTTCTTCTAGCCTTTGAGGGCATCTGTACTCATGTGTACATACCCATTCCCACCACACACACATACACATACATGATTATAAATTTTAAATTAAATCTTTAAGGGGACAGAGAATAAAGTGCTCAAGGCTTTGCAGGCTCTATCAGTTCCGGTACAACTCTTCAACCCCGCCCAGCTAGTCCAGGAACAGCCAGTCTGTTAAATGTGTTTCAGAAACACTTGATTTACAAGACCTGCTGGCATGCCACTGAGGCCTGTGTGCTACAGTATGCTCCCCTCTGGTCAGAAGCACTGCAGGGGATAATAAATGAACACAACAACGTAGACAACACTAGGAGCCAGCCAGGGAGGCTAACGTCTGGTTTGTTTGGCTCTCTGAACCGCAATTCCTCCTTTGCTCTGAGCCAGCTCACCCCAGCCGGCAGGTAACTTGGCCGCCGCTGCTGGTCACAGAGCAGAGGCAGCTGCACTCACCAGTTCTAACCAGGGCACGATGCAGCTGCTGTGGAAGAAGTGGTTGCAGGGTAGCTGCCGGACCTTCTCTTCAACCGTGTAGTCCTCTTTGCACACCGGACACTCTAAACCCGTGTCTGTTGGAGGAAGAGGGAGGGGCCTTTTAAAGTAACAAGCAAAAGGAAGGAAGGAAGGAAACGACCAGGCATGTGGTGCAGGCCTATAACCCCAGCACGGGAGAGGAAGAAGCGCTGAAGGTCAAGGCTAATCGGGGCTACAAAGTCTACCTCAAAAACAAACAAATAAAAAAGAACAAGGCCAAACAAGCTGTCTCCAACAACCAAGAAATGTGTCAATAAAAGGTGTTTCCCCCCCCACACACACACACCAAGGGGGGAATTATGTCTGAGTGGTAGGAGATAGGAAGTATGACCTCTACTCAAAATGGAAACAGAAATGGCAGTGGACACAGAAACGAAAGAGGCTAACTCCAACAGACCTAGCGGGAATCATACAGTAGGCCCAATCTTGAGTGTAACAAGTGAGAATTATCAGAGCTGACCCAGTGAGATGGCTTAGAGAATAAAGGAGCTTGACACCAAGCCTGATGACCTGAGTTCAATCCCTGGGACCTGCATGGTGGAAAAAGAAAATCAACCCCCACAAGTTATCCTTTTACCTAAACACATGCATTGTGGTACATGTGCACACATAACAAAACAAACATAATTTTTAAATTGAAAAAATAAGCAGATGCCAGGCAGTGGTGGTGCACTCCTTTAATCCCAGCACTCAGGAGGTAGAGGCAGCTGATCTCTGAGTTTGAAGTCAGCCTGATCTACAAAGCAGTTTCAGGATAGCCAGGGCTACACAGAGAAACCCTGCCTGCCCCCCCCCCCCCCCCCCCCCCCCCCCCCCCCCCCCCCGCGTCCCAAAAAAGAGATCAGAAACTTGAAACTTATCTATAAAATAAAAAAGGGAAAACATCCTCCCAAACGTGTGCCAGCCTCCGCCAGCCAGTCTTTGCCTAGAAAACTGTGACATGACTAAGGGACTGGTCTCAGCAACCTTAGCAGTGTCTAGTCAGTGTCTGGACCACCTTCACCTGCTCTCTTCCTTACTCTGCTCTCCTCGGTGTGGTTACCCCGGTCCTCTGAGGTTGGGGATTAAGGCTCTCCCCGGAGGTGGCGCCACAGAACTACAGGAGACAAGTGCACTCAGACGCCAACCAACCAGCAGAAGACTGTGGCTTCAGAGGAAATGGCTATTAGTCTTGCAGGTTCTAAGTGGCAAATTCTGAACTGCAGAAATATGGTCAACAGTATACAATAGAATACTGCTGAGCTATGCCCCAGGCTCTAATGGTGATCAAGGCATGTGGGTAAGACAGCCCCTTAAAAGATTCCTTCCTTCCTTTCAGTTCCACACCTCACCCTAATTTCACCTTCACTTCTCATGTGACGTCTACTACAACAGCCTTCTAGGCAGCACCCCAACTTTAACCCTTTAGCAATCCAAACTTCACCTCCAGCTAACTTCATCTAATATCAGCTTCAGGGTAAGCCCCAATTCATCTCTGCGTGGACTCTCAGCTAGCACCTCAAAATCAGTAAGTTCAGAATGAAAACCATCACAGTATCTCCTTACGCAGACCAGGGCCAATGCATGGTCCCCGTTACCCGACGGTGGCAGTGTCACCTTTAGAGTGCTCTGGAATCTTCTAATGCCTCTAATAATCCTTTTGCCTCCTTCACATTACTATGTAGTCAGTAATACAACTAATGTTTTTTTCAAAATTGAACTTTTCTTTCTTTTTTCTGAGGCTCTTACTATGTAGCCCTAGCTAGCCTAGAACTCACCATGTAGACCAGGTTGGCCTTGAACTCAGAGATCTGCCTGTCTCTGCCTCACTAGTGCTGGGATTCAAGGTGTGTGCCTCCATGTCCTAATTCAAAATTATACTTCTAGACATACCTTTTCCTGTCTGTCAGCACTGGCACCATCACTAGAACGCCATCTGAACTAGAGCAAGAGCCTCCCTATTTTCTGTGCCCACTCTCTTCCTTCCACGTTCTCTGACACATTACTTCCAGAGACCCTTCCTAAAGATCTGACACCCTCCCTCCCCCATCTGAGGACCCCTTTCAGAAGGTCAAGTGACTGAAGAACACCTCACAGTCATCATGTTTGAGTCAGCTATAAACCACTTTTTGTTTTGTTTTGTTTTTCTCTCATATGTTACATCCTGACCTCAGTTTCCCCTCCCTCCACTCCTCCCAGTATCCCCACACCTCCCCTCTCCTCCAGATCCACTCCCTCTCTGATAAACGGCTCTTATTAGATCTGGAGTGGACTCTGATGTGAGAAGCAGAGGGAGGGACTTGTTGCAGAAAAACCTTCAAACTGCAAGAGAAGTTTCAAGATGTTTTAGCTAGTAGAAAAGTTTTCAAACAAACTGCACCTCACATGTGAAACAAATCTCCAGCCTCATATTTGTCCTCTTCTTCTCCTTATGATATCATGGGCCCAACACTATTTTCAACATCTTTTTGAATCATTTAGTGAGTTTTGTTTCCAATAGTAAGGTCTTGTACTGATTATAATCAAGTTTTATACAAACGACTGCATCTCTTCATTTCCAATGGGATCTAGAAAGTAGGCATGCTAACTAGGTTCTCCACAGCTGGTAGCCAGACAGGAATGTTAGGAAACCGTAGCTTTAGAATAGAAATGCGCTGAACATTAGATCAGATGCTATAAGATGTCATAACAAATATGAAAATAACTTACCAACTTGTTCCTGAGTTACTGTCACTGTGGGGAGAGAGGTGATCTTTTCCTTATCAGCTGGAGGGGGACCTGTGTTTTCTAGCTGTCCTAGAAGCTACAAAAAGAAAACGCAGCCATGTTCATTATCTCCGATTCTGGAGGGGAGCCACTCCAGCTGGGAACAAACAGTGCAGGCATTAAGAATGTTCACTGCTCTTAACTTCTGCAGGACTCCAAGAGGCCAGGTCCCCTTCCAGGTGCTGGAACTCACAGCTGCTTCACAAGGTCAGAGTGACACCAGTGTAAGCCATGACTATAAGACAGACTCTTAACTGAAAGGCTCACCTTTGGGCACAAAACAAATTTAAGATACCGAGAGTTGTGATGTCCTGAATAAAATTACAGCTAATAAAAAGTAACAGCTAACTGGTTCAACTTTCATCCGGTCAGAAGGTGGGAGTATGAAAAGCAGCAAAAAGCCAAGAAATGGGTGTATTACTGTATATGAGAAGACTCCGAAATAAACAACATGCTTTCTCTTCTCAGCAGTCCACAGGGAGGTGAAAAGCAGTCAAGTTAAGTGAACACAAGCAGTGGAAGCGACTGCACACGGCATGGAAGGTCTGCTCTCTGCTTCCTTCCTCTACTTTGCTCCGTCTAGCAGAAGTCCCTGCTTCAACGTGCGAAACCCTAGGTTTTGGTGAGAAGCATCTGCTCCTCAGAGGACTAAACAAGAGGACAAAATTACTGCTTTGTTACAGGAGAAGTCTTTACTTCCTCTAGAGGTAAAATCATCTTCTAGAAATCCCCTGATGCCTAGTAGGAACATGGAAACTAGGCTAAACCCACAGCCCCTCCATCCATTTAGTAAAAACAGAAACCCAAAAGCTCAAAATATCAGTGAAAGCAGAGTGATTGCCATTTCAGAAAGTAGCAGAAGGATGCAGGAAGCCTGTGGACCCATGGGACACACTGACAGACACCCTCTCAAAAGGCTCCTCACCTGGGTTACAATGGCATCAAGCCCTGTCTGACCCCAGGCATAGTCCCCAGGGTTGGAGTGCAGCATCCCGCTCCTATACGTGAGATGAGACAGACAGGATTAGGTGGGGTGACCAGGCTCGGCCTTATACCACAGGGGAAACTAGCAATGCGACTCTGCTCTCTCAGAGCTGAAAGTCACTAGTCCTCTAGAATCGAGAGGCAAAGAAATTCTCTGTATTTGAAAGATCAGCCAGATTATCTAGAGATATGCTTCCATTCTCAACAAATTTGACCTAACTGGAACAAAATGTGATGCTACCTAAAATGCCACATAATACCCCAGAGCAAAAAGAGCTCAGTGCCTGTGGGTTAAGAAAAGCTTGTGTTTTGGCTGACCCAAATCTACAGCAGACTCCCCTCACTCAAAGAGGCCGCACATGCCCTGCACAGTAAGGACTTCCTGGTGGAGAAGCAGCCACACAGTTCCTGTGGATTATGACCAGCACTTACAAAGGGGCTTGGCCAGACTTCTTCCTTGGTGCCGTTGATGCAGTACCCTGGATGAAGGCACAGGCTCTAGCTAGACCACATTTAAAGTAAGCGGAGGCTGTCAAATGGGATAAATGTGGAAGGGACTGAGATCCCTCTGAACAGAACCCTTCCTTCTACAGCAGCATTAGAAGTCACACATGACTAGAGCAAAGACGGCTCTTGGAAGACACTCTGTCATCCCTGCCATGCCTAAGTGTCACTCTGACACTCAACTACGAGTGTCACTCTGAGAAAAGAAAGTAGAATGTTCTATTTTCAACTTCAGAAATTCTTAAAGCACAAAATCTTCCTGTTTGGTCCACACGGAAAACTCACAAAGCAGATACCAAACCTGGCAGGGAGGGACCAGGTCATTCCCCACCTCAACATTATCCTCAGACCAAGGCAGAAAAGGAACAGGTATATCCCGCCAATATCTTAAGGCACCAGGACCGCTGTCCTGAGCACCCACAAGGAAGAATCAGTTCTGCTTGGGTTTGGGTTCGGCAACAATGGCAGTCCAACCTCCCAGGCACATCCACATACTCACCTGTGCAGCGTTCCCTGCCTCTACGCTACAGAAATGATAGCATTTACAATGGTACTACACAAGCAGAATAATACAGACAAAGAATGGTCACTCACCAAGAAAAGGGATGTGGGGATCCAGGAATTGCAGAATTCGCAAAGAATCCTGCAAAGATCTGCTGTATTATTCTGTTAAAGGAGGGGAAAAATGAGATGAAACAACACACAGAAATATTCTACAACCATGGCTGACTAATCAATAACCAATACCTTAAGCCACAATTGTTTTCAACTGATCATTATACAAAAGATAGCAGCAGAAATTAGTCCACTGCCTGTAGTCCATTATTGCTCTTTGTGGGTTCTTCCATCTTAAAGATGAATACTATTTTTTTGTCAATGAGGTTAGAAAAAACCTGATGTTATGATGTAGTTCTTAAAACATTTCCTTGGGTCTATGATACTAATGTGAGAAAGGGTTCGAAGGATGATGACCCAGGGGCATTCTGGACCCATCATTCCTTTTTAACAAGGGCATTAAGCTAATCAACATAACTTTGACAGTAGCTAATATTAGACCAAAGGACAAATACGTCTACAAACTATTCAATATTTCTCTCCCTTCAAACTTAGTTGAACTTAGTGATCCATATCTTATAGACAAGATATGGCAGAAGTGACTGTGTGGCTTGTAAGATTAGCATACAAAAAGTTATCATCATGATTTTTTCCCTTCTACTTCTGTCTATATGGGATCACTGAGTAAATACCCTAAAAGAGCCAGCTGCCAAGTCATGGGGACAGTCAAAGCACTCTATGGAAAGAGCCATGGTGAGGAAACTAAGGCTTCCTTCTAATGAGGAGGAGACATTCTGGAAGCACATCTTCCATACCCAGCTCAGTATTCAGATGACTATGCCCACAATGTCACACTATATTTATTTTTAATTTGTTTATTTTTATGTATATGGGTATTTTGCCTGCTTGGGGTCTGGGCATGCAGTGTCCATAGAAAGCAGAAGAAGGTGTCAGATCCCCTGGAACTGGAGTTACATCAGAGCCAAGCCACCATGTGGGTGCTGGAAATTGAACCAGGATCCACCAGAAGAGTAGCCAGTACTCTTAACTGTTGACCAGGTCTCCAGCCCTGCACTGACTCTTAGTTTTGAAAGGTGTTTAGTAGTAGTTCCTCCTGTGTTCCTGGTTTTAGTGAGAGGGGATCAGTTTCTTTTTAAAGCAGGTTTGCTTTTGGTTCCCAAGAGGGTTAATCTTGATTGCCGCCACCTCAGGCTCCTGCCCAGGGTTCCCACCGTGCGGCTGTACCCTCCCTCCCTCCTGCTGCTTCTGTCAGGTGTTCTGTCCCGGAAGTGCACAGAACCACTAACACGGCTCCTAATGTATGGCCTGTTCTTTTTAAAAAGAAGTTTCGTTTTCAGGGTATAGTGCTCATCCCTACAATCCAGTAACAGGGAGGCTGAGGCAGGAAGATTGAAAGGTTTTGAGGCCAGTCTGGGCTACAGAGGATACTTCAGGCAAGACACGGCAACATTCTGCCTTAAAAAAGAAACAAACAAACAAAAACATTATGTTATGGCAGGAATAGTGATCTCTTTCTTTTTGGAACTTAAGTCTTAACAGGATGAAAGATGTTAATAACCTTGTGATTTAGTCCCAACACCACACCCTGGGTAAACTGTTAAGCAATGAGTTCTTGAGGCTGGGCAGCCAATGGGGCGTGTCCCTCCCCATCCCCACTCTGCTGTCCTGCCAGCAGCCAGGCCTTCCATCCACGGAGGGCAGAGGCAGCAGCTACAAGCAGAACGTCGTCACAAGGTAAAACCTAGAGTTCTCCTGGGATAGTTAGAAGGAAGAGTGTGTGTGTGTGTTGGGAGATATATACTAGATTCCTTACAGTAGACTTACGGAGTCTCAACAGTGAAAAATGGGTTCCACACCAATTCCCTATTTCAAGAACCCTCAGAAAGTAATCTGATATTTTCTAATCTTATTTCAAGATATGGTCTCTACTTGGTAAGAAAAGTAAGTGGAAAAAAAAAAAAACTACTACTGACTATATAGTTTGGACATCTAAAAACATGCAGGTTCAATTCACAATACAACATCTAAATGAAATTAAAAACAGGTGGGTCTATTTAAAGAAATCACAATAGTGATTATACAAAGGAAAGAATTCATCAAGAAATAATTTAAATGACCAAAATGTACAAAACATTTTGAGAAACCCAAAATCTTAACTTACAACACCTACAATGAGAATAAATAAAATAAAAATCCTCAGAAGATTGATACACATTGAAAAATGTTGGGGGGGGGGAGAGCAAGGGAATCTGTGGCTATTATGTGGAACTGAATAGTATTGTAAAATAAATAATAATAATAAAAAAAAGAAAAACGTTGACTGTACAGGACAACTCATCTAACACATGCTTTTTCTTATTGCTTAGTTTGCTTTTGTTTTACCTTTTAGCTAAAGGCTCATGTAGTCTAGGCTGGCCTCAAGCTCATTACACAGCTTAGGCTAGCCTTGAACTCCAGATTCTCTTGCCTTCACCTCGCAAGAGCTGGGGTTACAAGTCTGTGCCATCACATGCTGCTCAGACATACCATTTATTCCACTGTCACTGATAAGCAGACACTGTGGCTGGCTAATCACAAATACATCCTCAACACCATTCTCCTTGCTACCTCTCAGGAGAGGACAGAAAGCTGAATCTATACTTAGCTAGCTTTCTTTACATCTGTGTGCAGGAAGAATGGGACACAGGGAACATTCTTAGCACAGAGTGTGAAGGCAGTAGAAAAAAATTCCCTTTCCTTTAACAAAATTTAATATAAAGCAGGCTTGGTGGCACACTCCTATAGTCCCAGAAACTGGGAGCCTAAGGCAGGAGGACTGGAGTTCAAAGCCAGCCTGGGCTGCTGGGGAGATGTAAATAGCTTGTGGAAACTGGTTCTAAGTGGGGATGACAGACATTTCACATTAAGCCCACTGTTGTCATCTACTTAAATCCTGGCCTTTGCTTCTGTAGTGATATAAATGACAATGGCCCCCAATTGATGGAACGGTTTGGGAAGCAACAGGAGGTGTGACCTTGTTGGAGATGTGTCACTGAGGGCAGGCAGCCTTTGAGGTTTCCAAAGCCCACGGTATTCCCAGTGTACCCTCTCTCTGCCTCCTATTTGCAGATCAAGCTATTGAGCTCAGCTGCTCCAGTCAACCTGTCTACTGACTGCTGCCATGCTGTCCTGCCAGGACGGACACTTAGCCCTCTGAAACCAGAAGCCCAATTACAATCTTCTTTTAGAAGTTGCCTTGTCATAGTGTTTTACCACAACATAGAAAAGTAACTAAGACAGATCCCAATGTTATGTAATATACTTGATATACCTCTTGGTATCTTTCAAACATTTTCTTTTTACTTTTTCTTTCTTTTCATCTCTCTATCTCCCTCCCTCCCTCCCTCCCTCCCTATCTATCTATCTTGGAGGCATAGTCTCACTGTGCAATCCTGGAACTCACTCTGTAGACCGAAAGGGCCAAAAAGTCATAGAAATCTGTCTGTCCCTGCCTCCCTAGCACTGGGAACAAAAGATTGCCACCACATTCTTTTTTGAGACATGGTCTCGATATTTAACCCAGGTTGGTCTTGAACTCATGATCCTCCTCAGACTCCCAAATGCTTTTATAAGCATGAACTACCAAACCCAGTTTCTTCTAAAATGCTGATAAATCCCCTGTGTTAATCTGACACACTTATAAAAATGCTACAGAAGTGTATTAGATTCATCACTCTTTATTTTATCATCAATCTGATAATACTTAAATATGACATTGAATTTAGTTTCATTTTCATCCTGTCTATATTTCTGTCTTGTCCACGAAAGTAAGGTTGAGAACCTCATAAGATTAGATTATGCCAGTATGTCGTCCCCTGAAACAACCCTTAAGAACTCAAAACAACTCACCCTTCAATAGCTGGCGACCTGTCAGGACGAGTACTTCCTCGAGATCTGTATCTTCTCGTCACTGGCAACCTTGGAGGCCGACTTGGTCCCCAAAAGTCAGTGTGAGTTTGGTGACCTCTCTCATTGGCTCTATTATCTTGGTCCAGTGGATTGCTAGTTAGAAATGGTCTAAAATCTTGTAAAAACATTGTGTGATCCAGACGGTCCCAGAGCTAGCAACAACAAATTTTTTAAAAAAAAGCACACATCAGAAAAAGGAAAGAAAGGAGTTACTTTTAACACTTCGAAATTCCAACAGCTCCAAAATAGTGAAATATATTTCCCTAATTCTATAAAGAGCACTTGCCTAGAATGAGGAAGGCTCTTAGCTTAATCCCTAGCATTGGTTGATTGTAAATAAATAAATAATCAGATAAATAAATAACTTAAAACTTAATTAATTTTCCTCATATGTAAGAAAGCAAACAAATGCCTAGCTCCTTTCCTTAACAGTTACCTGAGATCCATATCCACATGCCTCTGACCATCTCCCCTTCAGAAATATAATATGAGCTAAAGGTCCATCCCATGTATAACTAACAATTCAGATCAATATTATACCTTTGTGTTTTGTCACAAGTGGAGTCTATATTCCCAACAAAACAAACACACTTCTCAATTGTAAAGAGCACACTGTTACCAGGAAGTAAAGATGTCTGTCTATAAACACTTCTCTTGACTTGGCACTTGCATCAGAGAGAGGCTGTGTCAATTCTGGGACAAAGCAGTGTGGCTGTGTCTGAGAAGAGCCTATGTTGTATACATTTTCATCATTAATATGGGCAGGAGAAAGGCTGGGTTTGGGAAGAAAATCACTAAGCAAAGGGGAAAAGGAAAAGTAAATCAACATGTTTTAAAGCTTTTTTTAAAACTGTGTGTCTGTGAGTGTGGGTTTGCATGCATGAATGCAGGGTTCAAAGAGGTCAGAAGAGGGCACGGGATCCCCTGTAGCTAAGGTTACAGGCCGTTGGAAGCCACAGAACATGGGTGCTGGGAATCCAACAGAGTCCTCTTCAAGTCCTAACCACTGAGCCATCTCTCCAGTTCAAAACAAGTTTTCTCAAAAAAGAGACTCTACTGCTTCAAAAGAATTTTATTTTCAAGTAGGAAAATATAGATACCAATCCCCCAAAACACCCCTACCCCAGGAAAGAAAAAGAAATTACTATGGTTAGAAGCTGAAAAGTCGCCGGGCAGTGGTGACGCACGCCTTTAATCCCAGCACTCGGAGGCAGAGCCAGGTGGATCTCTGTGAGTTCCAGGTCAGCCTGGGCTACGAGATCCAGGACAGGCACCAAATCTACACAGAGAAACTCTGTCTCGAAAAACAACAACAACAACAACAAGCTGAAAAGTCTCCCACAGCCCTCTTGGGGGCTACAGGCGGTGGCTGCAGAACCAGCTGTCTCTCTGCTTCCCAGTTTGTGATGAAGTGAACAGTCTCTGCCACGTGCTCTGCCTACTACCATGAGCCGAGTTGTCCCACTATGCTTTCCCTGTCACAATGAACTACAACATGGAAATCGTGAACCAGAATAAACCACGCTCCCCTTAAACTGTCTCTGCTGGGAAGTGTAGTCACACAGACAACTAATACGATACAAAGTAACTAATGCAGAAACTCTAGTATGATAGCTGCAGGCAAGTATTATAGAAGATAAAGGCTTACACTGCCCCAGGAAGCTGCCATAGCATTCTCTTCAGCAGCACTGTCATGGACATTTTATGGATTGAGAGTACCATCATAATATGCTCAATACATGTAAAATAACATGAAAGAGGTTAAAACAGACATCCTAAGTCCATAAAGCATCTCTTAGTTTACAGTTCTAAAGCTACTGCAATTCTCTATGCATCCTTCTCACTACCTCCAAAAGTAACTGCTATCCAAATATTTTGTTACAATTCATTGGCTTTTTTTATTTTTTATTTTAAATGTCTGTTAGCATACATTAATTATACATGTAGATAATGTATTTTTATCACACACACTCCCTGTGTGTTTGATTGTAATTGGCCCCCATAATCTCATAGGGAGTGGTACTATTAAAAGGTGTGGCTTTGTTGGAGTGGGTGTGGCCTTGGTGGAGAGAAGTGTGTCACTGTGGGGGTGGGCTTTGAGGTTTCTTATGCTCAGGACACCACCCAGTGTCTCAGTCGACTTCCTGTTGCCTCAAAGATGTGGGACTCTGGGCTACTCCAGCACCGTGTCTGCCTGCATGCTGCCGCCATGCCCCCACCATGATGATAATGGACTGAACCTCTGAAACTGTAAGCGAGCCCCTCAATCAAATGTTTCCTTTAAGAGTCGCTGTGGCCATGGTGTCCTTTCACAGCAATAGGAATCCTCACTGAGGCGCTGCCCATTCAATTCTTTGGTCCTTCTTCACTCCTGCTGTCCCTTACGATTCCCAGACAACTCCCTCCTACTTCAATGCCTCTTCTGCTTTGTTTTGTTTGGTTTTGTCACTGTTTTCTTCTGTGTGGATGTTTTTGGTGACCCAATGAGTTTCAGCATGGTTGCTCACAAGGGCATAAAGTCAGGCTATTTGCAGATTTACAGGAGGATGGGCAACTTGCCAGTAGCTACATCACTGAAGAAAATGCTTCTCCCTCTCCTTTTATGTGGGTTTCTTTTTTTTCTTTTTCTTTTTTCTTCTGAGAAAGGGTTTCTCTGTGTAGTTTTGGAGCCTGTCCTGGATCTCACTCTGTAGACCAGGCTGGCCTTGAACTCACAGAGATCCGCTTGCCTCTGCCTCCCAAGTGCTGGGATTAAAGGCGTGCGCCACCACCGCCCGGCTTAGGTGGGTTTCTTATGATCCCAACTATAGTCCTCACCAAGTACTTTACCACAGAGCCATCTCCTAGCCCGGTTAACTACACTCTTTAGATTTCTGTTAATTGCTATCACAACTAATAAAGTAGACAATTCAAAGCACCTTCACAGAACATTAGCTGAGGAACTTGGCTACTTGATTAGAAATGCACTTTGGACAAACTAAGAGTAACAGTGTATTGCTAGCCTACTTCATCCCCAGGTGACAGCATGCCCGAAGTGTAGAACACAGAATAAACTTTATTCCACACCAACACCGAGGATAAGAATAGCTTCGGGTCACCTGCCGCAGAGCAGGCTTACACAAGCATAAGGGAGAGCTCATTAACAGAACTGGGTCTCCAGGACACACTTACATAAGCAGGCTCCAACAGGGAACAACTAGAGGGCTCTAGTAAAACGTTCAAAAGGATCACAGTCTGACAAACTTGGTCTTAGAAAACAACGAAATAAGTTACTCTGAGGAGAAGTAAAAAGACAAAGCTTCCAGTGTCATTACAAACAAGACAGAGAGCTGGGGAGGCCGAGCTCACGCGCCCACAATGACAGCTGAGGACTGGATGGCGGCACTCACGTAACAAGCTGGACACCCAGCAAACACTTGTCTCCAGCAGTGAAGGGGGAGACAGGAGGATGACTAGGGTATGCTGGCTTCTGGCCTGGCCAAGAAAACTGTACCTCAAAGGAAGAAGCAGAGAGTGATAGAGGATGACACCTAAGGTCCTCTTTGGGCTTCCACACATGCACACACACACACAGAGATACACGAATTAAATACATCTCTTCAAATATAAGTAAAAATGAACAACAGGATAGATGGCATCTTCCATTTGGCAGGACTTTCTCTAAGCCAACTATAATCACATCCACATACTTAAAATATTAAGGTCTGTTCCTCAGAGTTAAACAGTTAATTATATGGCACAAGAATCTCCCTGTTGGTTATTAAAACCAAGATAACTATAAATATATCACAAAAATGTACAAATATATTAATAGCAGCACTACTCCTAAGAGCTCCAGTGGCCACCAGCTAACAGAGAGACACACAATACTGGATAGTCACAAGGAGCTAGGGCTCAGCTAGCAGACTGCGTGTCTGCATATTGAAGCCAGGAGATTCCTAGCACCAAAGGGAAAAAGTGAGTGTCTACACAATGCATTGTGCAGCCACAGCAGGAAAGAAGCAGTGATGCATGGTAAAGCATGATGAGACTTGGAAACGTGCTAAGTGGAAAAGAGTCCGTCAGAAAAGCTGACTGTTAGGTTTCCGTCTATCGCCACTGTCCTACGGAGACAGAAAATGGATCGGTGGTTGACTGGTGTGGGAGAACTGTAGGAAGGAAGAAGTATAAATTAAGTGGTTGAAAGATTGGAGGCTAATGAAAAAGTTCTGGGGACTAAAGGATTAGTTCAATCAGTAAAGTGCTTTGCAAACACAGGACCTAAGTTCAATCCCTAGGAACCCACATTAAAAAAAAATCCAGCTGTGGAATTATGCTAGCACTGGGGAAGCAAAAATAGGTAGATCCCTGAGGCCTGGTGGCCAGCCAGCCTAGCCCATTTGGTGAATTCCAAGCCAGTAGGAGACTCTGTCTCAAAAGAAATGTGGGCAGTGCCAGAAAAACAACACATATACCTCTCTCTCTGTCTCTCTCTCTGTCTCTCTCTCTGTTTCTCTCCCTCCCTCCCTCCCTCC